ACAGGTCCAGGAATCAAGGGGTGGAAATGGAAGTGACACCACTCACCACTACCCCCAATGTGTCATTAGCAAAATTTCTGCTTCCTGTTCTGATGACATTACATTCTACTGGCCTAGAGGTCTTAGTTCCAGAGGGAGGAACACTGCCACAAGGAGACACAACAATGATTCCATTAAACTGGAAGATTGCCACCTGGAATTAAGTCTGGGCCAATCCAAGGTGGCTGAATAGACAAAACTCCAGCACACAACACCCAGCGAGAGCTATGCAGAAATCCAGAGATCTCCTAGCTCCAATCGAGGTACCAGGTGCCTTTCAACGGGTCTGGTCTGACGGTGAGCAAAGCCCACTTAGGGCAGACTGAGGCGGGGAGGGGTGCTGCTTCACCCAGAAAGTGCATCTGACCAGCGAGTCAGAGGCTCCCCCTCTGGCACTCCGGTCCAGATACAGCCCTTCCCCCAAAGCCTCAGCAATACACAGAACAGGGGATCTTTGCCAGTCAAGTGCCGGGAATTACAAGCATGGAGTTGAATAATAATCCAGGACTGTGTCACGGATTGGCACATAGACCTAAACAGATGCATAAGCCCAAAAGGCAGCCAGAAGAGCCTGCAGACTGAGCTATTGCCCCCCCCCCTGCCCTGAGAGAGAGGGAGCTGTATGCAGGAGCAGATGGGTGGGCCCCTACCCCATGACTGGAGAGAGAGGAAGCTGAAAGGGGGAGACAGAGACAGCTGGGTGCTGCTGGGTGGGTCCCTACCCTCCCCCAAAATTCCCAGAGAGCTGAAGCTCTGACTGTAGTGGGTTGCAGCCAGTGCCACAGTCTGAGCTGAACCCTGAATGATCTAGCCCGGTGGAGGAAGGGCACAACACACCATGAGAGGGGTGGGACTGGGCTACATGTTTCAACAAAAAACATAGGAGGCCTACATAGCAACAGGACAGGGTTCTTGACAACCCAGAAGTGCCTACAGGTCAGCAGAAGAGGTGGGCCTAATCTCTCAGTATAAACAAAAACGACACAGGAAGTTTCCCTAGTAACCTGAAGGAACCCCTAGAAACCCAGTAGCGCCTCCACAGGCAGACAAGCCACCTCATCAAGCAGCTCCCTGACAACGCAGCCAGGTAAACTCACAAAGATGGGAATAAACCAGAGCAAAAAAGATGAAACCATCAAAGACCAAAACACCTCTTCTCCTTCAAGGGATCACAACTCCTCAATAACACAGGATCACAGCATGACCGAGAAGGAGTGCAACGAACTGACAGAAACAGGTTTCAGAAGGTGGATAATAACAAACTTTTCTGAGCTAAAGGAATATGTTCTAACTCAATGCAAAGAAACCAAAAACCTTGAAAAGAGGTTAGACGAAATGCTAACTAGAATAACCAGCTTAGAGAAGAACATAAACGACTTGATGGAGTTGAAAAACACAGCATGAGAACTATGTGAAGCAAACACAAGTTTTAACAGCCAAATTGATCAAGCAGAAGAAAGGATATCAGAGATTGAAGATCACCTCAACAAAATAAAAAGAGAAGGCGAGACAGGAGAAAAAAGAGTGAAAAGAAATGAACAAAGCCTCCAAGAAATATGGGATTATATGAAAAGACCTAATCTACGCTTGATCGGTATACCTGAATATGATGGGGAGAATGAATCCAGGCTGGAAAACATGCTCCAGGATATTATCCAGGAGAACTTCCCAAGCCTAGCAAGGCAGTCCAAATTTCAAATTAAAGAAATATAGAGACAGATCTCGCGAGTAGGGTACAAGGCACTATGAAATGATCTTGTTACGTGGGTGAGGGGCTGAAGGGCCTATGATGCACTGAGATTGGGAAAGGATTTAGAAATAACATGGTTTGAAAAGCCGGACCTGGTGTGGGGACGCTCTAGGGAGGAGTCTTCTCCCCAGTTTTAGCTGGTTTCATTTCTTTGTGTCTGTAGGCAACGCGGTAAAAATACTCCGGTGGGCAACGCGGTACAGGTGCCTCTGAAGGGTGTTCATTAGGGGAATGCCGAAGCGTGGGAAAAAGGGATCGGTGGCCGAAGAAGGGGACGAGCTCAAGATGGAGCCAGAGGCCAAGAAGAGTAAGACGGCGGCAAAGAAAAATGACAAAGAGGCAGCAGGAGAGGGCCCAGCACTGTATGAGGACCTCCCAGATCAGAATACCTCACCCAGTGGCAAACCTGCCATACTCAAGATCTGCTCTTGGAATGTGGATGGGCTTCGAGCCTGGATTAAGAAGAAAGGATCAGATTGGGTGAAGAAAAGCCCCAGATATACTGTGCCTTCAAGAGAACAAATGTTCAGAGAACAAACTACCAGCTGAACTTCAAGAGCTGCCTGGACTCCCTCATCAATACTGGTCAGCTCCCTCGGATAAGGAAGGGTACAGTGGCATGGGCCCACTTTCCCGCCAGTGCCCACTCAAAGTTTCTTATGGCATAGGTGAGGAGGAGCATGATCAGGAATGCTGGATGATTGTGGCTGAATTTGACTCATTTGTGCTGGTAACAGCATATGTACCTAACGCAGACCGGGATCTGGTACGACTGGAGTACTGGCAGTGCTGGGATGAAGTCTTTCACAAGTTCCTGAAGGGCTTGGCTTCCCGAAATCCCCTTGTGCTGTGTGGAGACCTCAATGTAGTGCATGAAGAAACTGACCTTCACAACCCCAAGGGAAACAAAAAGAATGCTGGCTTCATGCCACAAGAGCACCAAGGCTTTCGGGAATTACTGCAGGCTGTGCCATTGGCTGACAGCTTTAAGCACCTCTACCCCAGCACAGCCTATGCCTACACCTTTTGGACTTATATGATGAATGCTCGATCCAAGAATGTTGGTTGGCGTCTTGATTATTTTTTGTTGTCCCACTCTTTGTTACCTGCATTGTGTGACAGCAAGATCGATTCCAAGGCTCTCGGCAGTGATCACTGTCCTATCACCCTATACCTAGCACTGTGACACCACCCCTAAATCACTTGGAGCCTGGGAAATAAGCCCCCTAAACTACCATTCCTTCTTTAAACACTCTTCAGAGAAATCTGCGTTGTATTTCTCATCTATAAAAATAGGAATCCTCCAGCCAGGCTCCTGTAACAAGCTTAAATTTCTTTTAAGCTCAAGATTTTTTTGAGCATTTCTTAAAAAAAAAAAAAAATTGAACAAAGGCTACTAGTAACTTTGTTTGAATTATCCACATGAAAATAAAAAGCTACAGTTAAAAAAAAATACAGAGAACTCCACAAAGATATTCCTCAAGAAGAGCAACCCCAAGGCACATAATCGTCAGATTCACCAGGGTTTAAATGAAGGAAAAAATGCTAAGCGCCGCCAGAGAGAAAGGTCAGGTCACCCACAGAGAGAAGCCAATCAGACTCACAGCAGATCTCTCAGCAGAAACCCTACAAGCCAGAAGAGAGTGGGGGACAATATTCAACATCCTTAAAGAAAAGAACTTTCAACCCAGAATCTCATATCCAGCCAAACTAAGCTTTGTAAGTGAAGGAGAAATAAAATCCTTTATGGACAAGCAATTACTGAGAGATTTTATCACCACAAGACCTGCCTTACAAGAGCTCCTGAAAGAAACATGAAGCACAGAAAGGAACAAGTATCAGTCACTGCAAAAACAAACCAGTTGGCAAAGACCAAAAATGCAATGAAGAAAATGGGTCAACTAATGGGAAACAAAACCAGCCAGTAACAAAATGGCAGGATCAAATTCACACATAACAATAGTAACATTGAATGTAAACGGCCTAAATGTCCCAATCAAAAGACATAGACTAGCAAACTGGATAAAAAGTCAAAACCCATTGGTGTGCTGTATTCAGGAAACCTATCTCACATACAAAGACACACATAGACTCAAAATAAAGGGATGGAAGAAGATTTACCAAGCAAATGGAGAACAAAAAAAAGCAGGGGTTGCAATCCTAGTCTCTGATAAAATGGACTTCAAACCAACAAAGATCAAAAGAGTCAAAGAAGGACACTACATAATGGTAAAACGATCAATCCAACAAGAAGAGCTAACTACCCTAAATATATATGCACCCGACACAGGAGCACCCAGATACATAAAGCAAGTTCTTAATGACCTAAAATGTGATTTAGATTCCCACACAATAATAGTGGAAGACTTCAACACTCCAACTGTCAATACTAGATAGATCAACGAGACAGAAAATTAACAAGCATATCCAGGACTTGAATGCAGAGCTGGACCAAGTGGACCTAATAGTCATATACAGAATGCTCCACCCCAAATTCACAGAATATATATTTTTCTCAGCACCATATTGCACTTACTCTAAAATTGACCACATCATTGGAAGCAAATCACCCCTCAGCAAATGCAAGAGAATGGAAATCATAACAGTCTATCAGACCACAGTGCAATCAGACTAGAATTCAGGATTGAGAAACACACTCAAAACTACACAACCACTTGGAAACTGAACAACTTGCTTCTGAGTGTCGACTGAATCAATGAAATGAAGGCAGAAATAAAGATGTTCTTCGAAACTAATCAGAATGAAGACACAACTTACCAGAATCTCTGGGACACATGTAAAGCAGTGTCAAAAGGGAAATTTATAGCAATAAATACCCACGTGAGAAACAAGGAAAGATCTAAAATTGACACTCTATCATCAAAATTGAAAGAGCTAGAGGAGGAAGGTCAAAGAAAACTCAAAAGCTAGCAGAAGACAAGAAATAACTAAGATCAGAGCCGAACTGAAGGAGATAGAGACACAAAAAACCCTTCAAAAAATCAATAAATACAGGAGCTGGTTTTTTGAAAAGATCAACAAAATAGACAGACCGCTAGCCAGATTAATAAAAAAGAAAAGGAGAAGAATCACATAGATGCAATAAAAACAATAAAAGGGATATCACCACTGACCCCACAGAAATACAAACTACCATCAGAGATTACTACAAACAGCTCTATTCACATAAACCAGTAAACCAGGAAGAAATGGATAAATTCCTAGACACTTGTACTCTACCAAGACTAAACCAGGAGGAAGTTGAAACCCTGAATAGACCAATAACAAGGGCTAAAGTAGAGGCAGCAATCAATACCTACCAACCAAAAAAAGTCCAGGTCCAGATGGGTTCACAGCCGAATTCTACCAGATGTACAAAGAGGAGCTGGTTCCATTCCTTCTGAAACTATATCAAACAATACAAAAGGAGGGAATCCTCCCTAACTCATTTTATGAGACCAACATCATCCTGATACCAAAACCAGGCAAAGACTCAACTAAAAAAGAAAACTTAAGGCCAACATCCATGATGAACATCGACGCAAAAATCTTCAATATTGAGAGCTTACTATGAACTGGGATTATTATGAACACTATATATATGATTTAATCTTCCTCATAAGTCTCCCAAGTGGATCCCATTATCATCCACATTACACATTAAGGAAAATGAGAATTGGTGAAGATGTGCACCTAAGGTTACACAGCTAAGTGGCAGAAATATGCCAAGAAGCCAGATCTTCTAACAACAAAGTCTGGCTGGGCTGCCTGGCTACCCATACCTCCCTTTCTGGAATCCCTTTTACATATTCCCTACGTGGGTTCCTACTGAAGGTATGAGCCATGGGTCCAGGCACCACTGAGTTTATCATATGGCCCTGCCCTCCTGGACAAAGCTTGTTCTAACTTTCAAGATAAAGATTACATAACTTTCAACTACAGCCTGGCTACATGTTGTTCCCTGCCCTTGCATTATTTCAGTTGTTTTCTTAAAATGAACAAACCCCTCTTGGCTTGAGATATTTATGTTACCATTCCTTGCATTCTTTCTGGTTTTTATATTCTTTGCAAAAAATCCTTGCTTCAAAATCTCCTCCAAAATGGGTACCCCGGTAGACTCAGAAAGCCTGAGCTGCTGCTGTACAGTCCAACATCTACTCACGCTGTTGAGGCTGGAGAAGGGGAGATGGAAATGGTGCTCATAGCCTTCCATCTTTGTCTGGTTCAGTGGCTAAGTGGCTGCTTACATATGGAGTTTTTGGCTGGGGCTTAAGCCCTAAGGTTGGAAGATTAGCTTCCCTCACTCTGCGTTTCCTGATCCTTCTCTTACTGCTCTGAGTAGTGGTTCTGTACCATCTGATTAATGCAAATGATGCAGTATTTTCTCCCTCTTTAATGAACATAGACACTTGTGATGAAAGACACATAACACATAGGATGGAGAGGGAGGGGATTTATGAGTTCAGACACAAAGTTGGGGCAGTGAATGCAACCTCTTATACAGAAATTCATCATAAAGTCTCCAATCTCAACATGTGGCACGTTTTACTCAGTACTGTCAGGTAGCTTTTATTTGATCCCTTTACTCATGAAAAGACAGGTTCAGATGGCATTTGCCACAGGTATCACAACTAGCTAGGTACTGACAGAATCATAATTACAATGGAAGGATTTTTATTCCTGTTCCAAGACCACACTACGCTTGGCAAAATAAAAGCATTCATTCATTCCTTAGTTATTCAGCATATGTGTATTTAGTACCTTTTCTGTGCTAGGTTTTAGGGAATTACAAAGGGAGCAGAATAATATAATCACTGATGTCATGGTGAATACAGCTCTGTGTCAAATCAGACATGAATCAGATAATCTCATATAAATAAAAACTTATATTTGTTTAGAAGTAAGGGAGTGACAGCCCCAAGAGAACAGATGACAAAAATGAGGTTAGTAAGAATTCATGTAAGATGGGTTAATCATATTAATTATCAAGCACAAAAAGTTTCTTTGCTGAAATCATCAATGATCAAGAAATCACCACTACACAATATATCCATGTAATTTGTACTGCATTTGTACCCCTTAAATTTATACAAATTTAAAAAGAAATCTTTGATGTGTCAGTATTTGAAGAAAATCTTATCTTTTTCATCTGTGATGCCATCAGTCAGATCACGGCTGATCTAATTAGAGGCTAGATTGCTAACAGCTGCTAGCTCTTTTGGACCACAGAGCTTATAGTTAAATTTGATACTTAGAAATATAAATTTTTAAAAATAAATGGCTTATTCTGGATTCTTTTAGAAGAGGCATTTTCCTCTCTTGGCACCAGGCAAGTCTACTTGGATTATTCCCTTATGATTAGAGAAACAAAACCTCTTTTCCTTGCACTTTAGCTGGGCCTAGACTCAGTGGAAGCTAAAAGACATAGGCTATGAGCCCTCAAACCCCATCTCTATTCCACATAGGACACAGCCCCTCTGGCCTTTTCACTTCTGGAAACTTGCTTTGCTGTCTCCCGTCCCAATCCTAAAAGTGTACATATTCGTCTAGCAGCCTGGCTCCTTTGTGGCCTTCATGCAGATGAAGTGCTTAGTAACTTTTTACGTCTCTCCCTTTGCAAAAGTAATACTGGTTTCCTATAAACAAACAGAAATGTGAGATGTCACCACTCATTGTTATCAAGTTTCTATTGTTTCTCTTTGTTTTTCAAAATTGATAAAGAATGGAATTTTAGACTCCTAAATTTCCTTTTGGTTTTAGAAGCTACTTCATAAAATAATTGCCCTCAACCTAACCTTTCTGGTTCTTTTAGGCTCTTTTTAGACAAAGCAGATCAGCTGAAAACTCCACTTACAGTAAATTGTAGGGGGAGGGGGGAGGAAAAAGGGGAGACGGTGGGCTTTAATCTTGCTTTTACTCTGTATCATACTTTGTGGTCTCTGTCAATGTGAAAAAGACTTGGGCATTCCATCACTGTTGGTATAATTGTTTTAGACTTCCAGAGCCACTAGTTTTACATGTGGTAGTCTTGAGTTCTGCAGTGTACAATCTGCACAGCTACACCCTTGCTCATTCTTTCTGCTCTGTTCCAGGTCTATTCAACTTCTATAGTCTTTCTCTTGGTCTCTGTTCAGCACTACCAAGCCTGGAAACTTCATGAGTAAATTTGGCCTTCAAAGTTTGGTCCTTTTATAAATAATTTGTCCTTATCAGTGTGGCTATATTTAGCAAACAGAAATAAGGACACCTGTTTACATTTTGGGGACATATTTATACTAAAAATTATTCCTGAGTATCTACAATTGAGATTCATTATAGTTGGGCATCCTACATTTTATCTGGCAATGCTTACCCTGACCTTAGCTCTTTTTTAGGCCTTGGATGTGTTTGGTGATCCCTCTGCCTGCTCAGGTGTCTTCAACCCTATCCTGGGGAATGTTCATGTCCTCTAGGGGACAATGAATTTTCTCACGCAAAGTGTAAGAAGCAAAGTTCTTCTGATTGAGGAGCATGGTGGGACACGGTCTAGATAAAATAAATGAATCTTGTCTCAAACTTGTCTATTCACTAGCAATTTCCTACGTGTTTATATTATAGCTGTTAACATTGCAAGATTGCAAGTTCCTGGAAGACAGGGACTTTTTTTTTTTCTGTGTCACAGTAGGTTTTATTAAGATCAGAGAGATTCAGTTACAATCAAATCAATCAAGCTTTAATGTATTGGCTGGTTAATAGACTTCTAAGAAAACCAAGCTTCCCTAAAAAAAAGAGCAATTAATTATTTTTATTCAACTTATCATGCAAATATCTGAATAATTTACTTTTGTTTGTTCAGTTCCCACATAGCTCAGTTTATAAGTATTGGTGTGGAGGCTATAGGTTAAAGAAACATATTTGTGTAAATTTGCTGTCCCACATAGCATTTACCACCATAATATGTTGTTTATCATGAGAGGCTAAATATACAAATAAATACTGGCCAGACCATATATGACAAAACAACTCTGATCATAGTCTCTGCAGCAACCAGCCCAGGAAGCCGAACCATAACCTTTGTAGCTATTGGCCCAAACTGGTCAGAACTTGGTCAGTGACTCCTAGCTTTTCTAATGTTTGCTCTCACTTCTAACCCAGAACCAACCAGAGAAAGAAAATGTGCTCCCCAAACCAATCCTAGAGGCTTCTACATAGCCCACATCTAGCTTCCCCAGGCCAACAGCTTTTGAGCAGGGCATACCTGAAGCTTTTCCTTTTTTCTGCTATAAAGCTTTCCCACTCCTCTGCCTGCCTGTGAGTCTCTGCCAAACAAAAGTGATGGTACCTGACTTCCTTGCAAGCTCTGGATGAATAACCGCTACCTGTTCTAGATCAGATTGTCTTTATTTCTACAGTGTTTATTAAGATCTCTATCAGAATCTTTTAAATGGCAAGATTAGTCCTACCCAGGTTTAGGAAATCATTTATGGCTGCTGGATATCAAATATGGTGCCAGCAAAAGTGTTGAAACTGGTTCAAACTTGGGTCAAGAGTCCTTTGATCTAGCTCAAATCTGCGATAATTTGATATTACTCAATCCTCTTTCCAGCACCTCTCAGCAAAAGTCTCACTGCTTGTGAGTGTCCTGCATACAGTCTGATTTGGGTGGTTGTTTCACTTGTGGAATTACTCAGAGGTCACATGACATTTACCTGTGAGTAGTTCAAACTGACTTTATTTCCTTAGGTCTATTTTGCCCTATCCATTGAGGAACATGTGGTCTCTGATATTAGATTGTTTTAATTCGGATTCTGCCAATACCTTTTATTCATCTTGTGAGTTTGGAAAAGTACATGGACTTATTTAAGTCTTAAATTACTTATTTAAAAATTGTTATAGTGACATTAGCACCTATCTTATAGGTTTGTTTGATAATTAAAGCATTATTTCTCACCAAAGTCCTAATATGTAATAGTTATTCAATAAGTAATAGCTATCATTATTACCATTATTACATCAAAATAGGTGCTTATATTTTCAAATTAACAATCTTTTGTCCTTTTGATATCACAATATGTACATTAAGTCGTACAAAGAATTAAGGCACCATCTTCATAATTAGATGATAGCAACTTTCTTCTTTATTGGAAATCAAGCATCTCAGAACCATCATGATTGGCTATTATGCTTTTTGACCTCAGCATTCTCAATGGCTTCTACTGGTAGAGCAAGTTACAGCTAGTAACTTGGTCAAGGTTTTTGGATATGAACTTTACTTTTTAGAGTATAGACCAACCTACATTTAAAACATGACACTCCAGAGGCACAGAAAGGTACATGACACAGCCAAATGAAGAGGCAACATGTCCTAAAATATTTTCTCTATTATCTTTTGAATCCCATTATAATCAAAGATATCTTCATGGTGAAATGCTCATTTTGCAGACATAACATGGATAAGTTTAATTTCAAAATCATACAAAGGAAAAATTCTGGGGCATTTTATCTGCATTTTTGTTAATGTGATCACAGATACAAAGTTAGTCATTCAATCCCAAATGAGACATGACCTCAATGGGAGGTTTGTTCCTTGAATAAATTACAGAGATCCACACAAAGCACATGTCAATTGCACTGCCCATGTGCTCCTGTCTCCTCGCTGATGTCAGAGATTTGTTTTGGGAAGCCTCTAGCAAACATTTTTGGAACAGAAATTTTGTGAGAATGTCACTGTTTTTGTCACAAAGGTAATTTAATGGTCTAACTGGAACCAAAAATGGAATGAGTTACTTTATCAAAAATTTTAAATCAAAAACTATTTATTTTGTTTGGTGGGTTTCAACAGGAATTAGAGGAGCATGTCATGATGGAGAAGCAAGAGATCTATCAGGAGCACCAGGAATGCTTTTTCAAAATATATATATTCTATTAAATTAAATGTTACTATGAACAGACTCTCTACGCAGCCTCATATATCATATTTTTCCACTTTTCCACAGTGACTATTTCAAATATTTTCCAGTATCTTCAAATCTCTACTCCTGTCTCCTTTATTAACTACCCCTAATGACAGCAGCAGTGGGCCATCTGGAATGGCCACCACCATCACACTGGCAGCAGTAGGGAGGTATGGCCAGGGCTGCACACTCTGTGGAGCCAGTGGGAACAGGGACAACCAGGAGTCCCATTCCTTTCATCAGAAAGTCTCCAATGTCAACATATGACACTTTTTACTCAGTACTGTCAGGTAGCTTTTATTTGATCCCTTTACGGGTGAAAAAACAGGTTCAGATGGCATTTGCCATATGCATCACAACTAGCTAGCTACTGATAGAATCATGATTATAATGGAAGGATTTTTTATTCCTGTTCCAGGACTATACTACCTTATGGCAAAATACAAGCATTCATTCATTCTTTAGTTATTCAGCACATATTTATCTAGTGCCTTTTCTGTGCTAGCTTTTGGGGAATTACAAAGGGAACAGAATAATATGATCACTGATGTCATGGTGAATACAGCTCTGTGTCAGATCAGACATGAGTCAGATAATTATATAAATAAAAACTTACAAATTTTTGTTTAGAAGCAAGGGAGTGATAGCCCCAAGAAAACAGATGACAAAAATGTGGTTAGTAAGAATTCATATGAGTTAATCATATTAAAAAAGCAAGAATTTAAATAAATGCCAAGCACAAAAAAGTTTCTTTTCTGAACTCATCAATGATAAAGAAATCACCACTAAACAATATATTCATGTAATTTGTACTGCATTTGTACTCCTTAAATTTATACAAATTTAAAAACGAATCTTTGATGTATCAGTATTTGAAGAAAATTTTATCTTTTTCATCTGTGTTGCCATCAGTCAGATCACGGCTGATCTAATTAGAGGCTAGATTGCTAACAGCTGCTAGCTCTTTTGGACCACAGAGCTTATAGTTAAATTTGATACTTAGAAACATAAATTTTTAAAAATAAATGGCTTATTCTGGATTCTTTTAGAAGAGGCATTTTCCTCTCTTGGCACCAGGCAAGTCTACTTGGATTATTCCCTTATGGTTAGAGAAACAAAACCTCTTTTCCTTGCACTTTAGCTGGGCCTAGACTCAGAGGAAGCTAAAAGACATAGGCTATGAGCCCTCAAACCCCATCTCTATTCCACATAGGTCAAAGCCCCTCGGGCCTTTTCACTTCTGGAAACTTGCTTTGCTGTCTCCCGTCCCAATCCTAAAAGTCTACATATTCATCTAGTAGCCTGGCTCCTTTGTGGCCTTCATGCAGATGAAGTGCTTGGTAACATTTTATGTCTCTCTTTGCAAAAGTAATACCAGTTTCCTATTTTAAAAAAACATGGAAATGTGAGATGTCACCACTCATTGTTATCAAGTTTCTATTGTTTCTCTTGTTTTTCAAAATTGATAAAGAATGGAATTTTAGACTCCCAAATTTCCTTTTGCTCTTAGAAGCTATTTCAATACTATGTTGAATAGGAGTAATGAGAGAAGGCATCCTTGTCTTGTGACAGTTTTCAAAGGGAATACTTCCAGTTCTTGCCCATTCAGTATGATATTGGCTGTGGGTTTGTCATAAATAGCTCTTATTATTTTGAGATATATTCCATTGATACCTAGTTTATTGAGAATTTTTAGCATAGAGGTCTGTGGAATTTTGTCAAAGGCCTTCTCTGTATCTATTGAGATAATCATGTGGTTTTTGTCTTTGGTTCTGTTTATGTGGTGGATTACATTTACAAATTTGCATATGTAGAACCAGACTTGCATTCCATGGATGAAGCCTACTTGATTGTGACGGATAAGCTTCTTGATGTGCTGTTGGATTCGGTTTGCCAGCATTTTATTGAGGATTTTTGAATCAATATTCATCAGGGAGGTTGGCCTGGAATTTTCTTTTTTAGTTGTGTCTCTTCTAGGTTTTGGTATCAGGATGATGTTGGCCTTATAAAAAGAGGGAATTCTCCCTAACTCTTTTTCTATTGTTTAAAATAGTTTCAGAAGGAATGGAACCAGCTCCTCTTTGTACCTCTGGTAGAATTCAGCTGTGAACCCATCTGGACCTGGACTTTTTTTGGTTGGTAGGCTATTAATTGCTGCCTCAGTTTCAGACCTTGTTATTGTTCTATTCAGGGTTTCAACTTCTTCCTGGTTTAGTTTTGGGAGGGTGTAAGCATCCAGGAATTATCTCTTTCTTCTAGATTTGCTGGTTTATTAGCATAGAGGTGTTTATAATATTCTCTGATGGTAGTTTGTATTTCTGTGGCATGGTGGTGATATCCCCTTTATCATTTTTTATTGCATCTATTTGATTCTTCTCTCTTTTCTTCTCTATGAGTCTGGCTAGCAGTCTATTTATTTTGTTGATCTTTCAAAAAAACCAGATCCTGGATTAATTGATTTTTTAAAGGTTTTTTTTTGTGTGTGTGTGTGTCTCTATCTCCTTCAGTTCTGCTCTGATCTTAGTTATTTCTTGTCTTCTGCTAGCTTTTGAATTTCTTTGATCTTGCTCCTCTAGTTCTTTTAATTGTGACTGTAGGGTATCAATTTTAGATCTTTCCTTATTTCTATTATGGGTATTTAGTGCTACATATTTCCCCCTACACCTTGCTTTAAATGTGTGCCAGAGATTCTGGTATGTTGTATCTTCATTCTTATTAGTTTCAAAGAGCATCTTTATTTGTGCCTTCATTTCATTATTTACCCAGTAGTCATTCAGGAGCGGGTTGTTTAGTTTCCATGTAGTTCTGTGGTTTTGAGTGAGTTTCTTAATCCTGAGTTTTGATTTGATTGCACTGTGGTCTGAGAGACTGTTTGTTATGATCCAGTCTTTTGCATTTCCTGAGGAGTGTTTTACTTCCAATTATGCGGTCAATTCTGGAGTAAGTGCAATGTGGTGCTGAGAAGAATATATATTCTGTGGATTTGGGGCGGAGAGTTCTGTAGATGTCTATTAGGTCCACTTCGTCCAGATCTGATTTCAAGTCCTGGATATCCTTGTTATTTTTCCGTCTCATTGATCTGTCTAATATTGACAGTGGAGTGTTAAGTCTCCCACTCTTATTGTGTGGGAGTCTAAGTCTCTTTGACGGTCATTAAGAACTTGCTTTATGTATGTGGGTCCTCCTGTATTGCATGCATATATATTTAGGATAGTTAGCTCTTCTTGTTGCATTGATCCCTTTACTGTTATGTAATGCCCTTCTTTGTCTCTTTGGTTCTTTGTTGATTCAAAGTCTGTTTTATCAAAGACTAGAATTGCAACCCCTGCTTTTTTTTTTTTTTGGCTTTCCATTAGCTTGATAAATATTCCTCCATCCCTTTATTTTGAGCCTACGTGTGTCCTTGCATGTGATAGGGGTTTCCTGGATACATCATACTGATGGGTTTTGACATTTTATCCAATTTGCCAGTTTGTGTCTTTTAATTGAGAGTTTAGCCCATTTACATTTAAGGTTAATATTGTTATGTGTGAATCTGATCTTGCCATTTTGATGCCAGCTGGTTGTTTTGCTCATTAGTTGATGTAATTTCTTCATAGTGTCGATGGTCTTTACAATGTGGTATGTTTTTGCAGCAGCTGGTACTGGTTGTTCCTTTTCATGTTCAGTGCTTCCATCAGGAGCTCTTATAAGGCAGGCCTGGTGTGACAAAATGTCTCATTATTTGCTTGTCTGTAAAGGATTTTATTTCTCCTTCACTTATGAAGCTTAGTTTGGCTACATATGAAACTCTGGGCTGAAAATTCTTTTCTTTAAGGATGTTGAATATTGGCCCCAACTTTCTTCTGGCTTGTCGGGTTTCTGCCAAGAGATCTTCTGTGAGTCTGGTGGGCTTCCCTTTGTGGATAACCCAACCTTTCTCTCTGGCTGCCCTTAGCATTTTTTCCTTCATTTCGACTCTGGTGACTCTGATGATTATATGTCTTGGGGCTGCTCTTCTCGAGGGGTATCTTTGTGGTGTTCTCTGTATTTCCTCAATTTGAATATTGGCCTGCCTTGCTAGGTTGGGGAAGTTCTCCTAGATAATATCCTGAAGAGTGTTTTCCAACTTGGTTTTATTCTCCCCATCACTTTCAGGAACATGGATCAAACA